TAAGGGACTTGCTGTGGCAGGTATTGTGGTTCAGTGGATTAAGCTGCACTGTGCCCGCATCCTGTAAAGGTGTGCTGGTTTGAGCCTAGCTTTCCACTTGCAGTCCAGCTTCTCACTAGTACGTCACAAGAGGCACAGCTGGTGATGGAGTGCTTGGGCCCTGCCCCTCACGCACAAGACCTGTATGAGTTCTAGGCTCTGCTTTGACCTGGCTCAGCCCTGGCTGCTGCAGGGAGTGGACCAGCAGATGGAAGATCCTCACATCGCTGTTGCTCTACATCCAAGTAGGGTGAAAATGAACAAGCATTTTAAGAAAAATTGTTCATTTTATGTCAAGTATAATGACACAAAGTTAAATGGTTGAAAATACCCTTTTACTTGTGGTGTAGAGGGTCAAACCCCCCCACCTGCAGTGCCAGCATCCCATATGGGCACCGGTTCGAGTCCTTGCTGCTGCTCTTCCAGTCCAGCTCCCTGTTGATGCTCGTGGGAAGGCAGTGGAAGATGCCCAACTGCTTGGGCCCCTGCACCCACGTGGGAGACCCGGGTGAAGCTTCTGGTTCCTGGCTTTGGCCTGGCCCAGTCCGGCCATTGGGACCATTTGGGAAGTAAACCAGTGGATGCAAGACATTTCTCTGTCTCTCCCTCTCTCTTTATAACTCTGCCTTTCAAATAAATGAATAAATCTTTTAAAGCAAATTTGTTCATTTTGAGTCAAATAGAATGACATGAAGTTGTTGAAAATATCCCTGTAAATTCCTTTGATCTGGAATGTTTGCTTCCCCTTCCCTTTTTATTCCTGATAGTTTGCATTTTGTCTCCTTTTCTCCTGATAAGAATGGCTAGAGTTTTATCAATTTTATGCATCTTTCCAAAGAACCGTGTTTGTTTGAATTAATTTTCTGCTTTCTCTTTTCCTATTTTTGTTTTTTACCTTTAATATTTCCTTCCTTCCCCTTACTTTACATTAATTTTGTTACTTAGACTTCTTTTTAAAGGTTTATTTATTTATCTGGGAGACAGAGTTACAGACAGAGGGAGAGACAGAGGTCTTCCATCCACTGGTTCACTCCCCAAATGACTGCAACGGCCAGAGCTGGGCCAGGATGAAGCCAGGAGCTTCCACTGTGTCTCCCATGTGGATGCAGGGGCCCAAGCACTTGGGCCTTCCTCCACTGCTTTCCCCGATGCATTGACAGGGAGCTGGATCGGAAATGGAGCAGCCATGGTACCCACAAGGGATGCCAGGAGGAGCCCAACCCATTGTGCCACAGCACCAGCACTGTTACTTTGATCCCTCCCTCCCTCTCTCCCTCTCTCCCTGTCTCTCAAGATTTATTTATTTGAAAGTCAGAGTTACGCAGAGAGAGAGACAGAATGGTATCTTCCATCTACTGGTTCACTCCCCAATTGGCCGCAACGGCCAGAGCTGTGCTGATCCAAAGCCAGGAGCCAGGAGCTTCTTCTGGGTCTCCCGCATGGGTGCAGGGGCCCAGGGACTTGGGCCATCCTCTGCTGTCCCAGGCCACAGCAGAGAGCTTGATTGGAAGTGGAGAGCCGGTACTCTAACCGGCGCCCATATGGGATGTCAGCACTTCAAGCAGTGGCTTTATCTGCTATGCCACAGCGCCGGTCCCTACTTTGATTTCTTAAGGAGTAAGTTTACATCATTGATTTAGGACCTTCTTTTTTGATTAAAGTGTTTAAATATATAAAATTCTGATAAAGTACTCAGCTACATCTCAAATTTTGATACTACTTTTTTTTTTTGACAGGCAGAGTGGACAGTGAGAGAGAGAGACAGAGAGAAAGGTCTTCCTTTTGCTGTTGGTTCACCCTCCAATGGCGGCTGCTGTGGCTGGCGCACCGCGCTGATCCGATGGCAGGAGCCAGGTGCTTCTCCTGGTCTCCCATGGGGTGCAGGGCCCAAGCACTTGGGCCATCCTCCACTGCACTCCCTGGCCACAGCAGAGGGCTGGCCTGGAAGAGGGGCAACCGGGACAGAATCCGGCGCCCCGACCGGGACTAGAACCCGGTGTGCCGGCGTCGCAGGCGGAGGATTAGCCTATTGAGCCGTGGCACTGGCCTTGATACTACTTTTTACATTCTGTTCAAAATATTTTATAATTGCCCTTTTTGTGATTTATTCAGTCTTTGGCCCGTAGACTTTTGTTGTTGTTTTCTGAGAGGCAGGGATGGTGGGGAGGGAGAAGAGGGAGAACACGAACACTCCTGTCCACTGGTCCACTACCTAACTGCCCACAACAGCCAGGGCAGGGCTAGAACTGAAGCCAGGATCCAGGAACTCCACCCAGGGCTCCCACGTGAGTCGCAGCATCACCACTGCTTCCTGGGTTCTGTGTCAGTAGGAATGTGTAGTCAGGACTTGGAGCCAGGTGTTGAACCCAGGCACTCCAATGTAGGATGCAGATGTCGGAACTGTTAGACCACAGGCCTGCCCTGCCCCCTGCCCCGCCACTCATCATTTAGAAGTTAAGTGTTTTCAAGGCCGGCGCTGCTGTGATGTAGGATAAAGCTGCCACCTGCAGCGCTGGCATCCCATGTGGGCACCAGTTCAAGTCCTGGCTGTTCCACTTCCGATCCAGCTCTCTGCTGTGGCCTGGGAAAGCAGTGGAAGATGGCCCAGGTCCTTGGGCCCCTGCACCCATGTGGGACACCCGGAAGAAGCTCCTGGCTCCTGGCTTCGTATGGGCGCAGCTCTGGCCATTGTGGCCAATTGGGGAGTGAACCAGTGGATGGAAGACCTCTCTCTCTCTCTCTCTGCCTCTGCCTCTGCCCCTTCTCTCTGTGTAACTCTTTCAAATAAATAATAAAGAAATGTTTTTTAAAAAAGAAGTATGTGTTTTCATTTCTAGGTATTTGGTGATATTTTCCAGTGATTTTTTTCAGACTTATTTATTTATTTAAGAGGCAGAGAAAGAGGGAGAGACAGGACAAAGAGAGAGGTCTTCCATCCTCTGGTTTACTCTCTAAATGGCTGCAGTGGCAGAGCTGGGTCTGTCCGAAGCCAAGCGCCTCCCCTGGGTCTCCCACATGCCATCCTTTGCTGCTTTCCTTCCCAGGCCACTATCATGGAGCCGTGTCAGAAGTGGATCAGCTGGGACACGAACTGGTGCCCACATGGGATGTCGGCACTGCAGGTGGAGGCTTAGCCTACTACACCACAGTGCTGGCCTGTACAGATATCTTTTTGTTAGTGATTGTTAGCTTAATTCTGTTATAACCAGAGAATATATTTTACACGACTGCTAAAAATTTTTTTTAAGATTTATTTATTCATTTGAAAGTTTGAGCTGGAGAGAGAGACTCTTCTATCTACTGGTTCACTCCCCAGATGACCACAAAGGCCAGGGCTGGGCCAGGCTGAAGCCAGAAGCCAGGGCTTCCATCCAGGTCTCCCATGTAGGTGCAAGGCCCCAACCCCCAAACACTTTGGCCATCTTCCGCTGCCTTTCTCAGGCCATTAGCAGGGAGGCGGATCAGAAATGGATCAGCTGAGACACAAACTGGAGCCCACATGGGATGCCAGTGCTGCAGATGGCTGCTTTACCGGCTGTGCCACAGCACCGGCCCCATAAATGGAGCCTTCCAACTGTGTCCTGTGGAGAAAGGGACAGGGAGCTCTTTGGGGTCAGTCATTGCATGGGTGAGGGTTCCCTCATGACTCATCAGCTCCTAAGGCCGTGCCTCCTCAGACCATTGCCTTGTGAGTTGGGATTTCAGCACGTGGGTTCTGCGGGGGTGCCTCTGAGCTCTCAGTCAGGACATGGCACTGAGCTGCCTGCTGGAGACTGTCTCACCTCCTTCGACTTGCCTTGGGCCCTGAGAACGCTCCTCCCTTTGTGGGGAGAGAGGCAATAGTGCAGTTGCCTCCCCTCCGGGACATCAGAGGTGGTGGTGTGGAGTGGCTCCTGCCCTCGGGGAGGTCCTTCCCCTGCTTCAGGGTGTGGGCATCTTCTCGGGCCTGCGTTCACCAGGGCCTGGCACGGCAGGGGCACGGCGGGAGGTGGTCTTCAGGGGCCCTGTGGCGCGGCGCTGAGTCCCGTCAATGCTGTTGTGCAGGGGGACAGAGGCCTTGCTTCATCCGTCACCTTTGCTCAGAGTGTTCTTGCTCAGGCTTCTCTGTCCCTCCAGGACCAGGCAGCAGGTGAGGGGACTCTGTGGATAGCGAGGCCCTGCCTTTGGGCTGACATGAGCCCAGAGCGACTGTAGGCTTCCTCTCAGTGCCAGCGTGGGTAGCTGTGAGTGTCACTTCCCAGAGGTGCCCACTGGGATGCTCATCACATGTGCTGATCAAGACACTGGAAGTGTAGTTCTTTCGTTAGAATGAAAGAGGGGCCGGCACTGTGGCACAGTAGGTTAATCTTCTGCCTGTGGCACCGGCATCCCATATGGGTGCTGGTTCCAGTCCCAGCTGCTCTACTTCCAATCCAGCTCTCTGCTGTGGCCTGGGAAAACAGTAGAAGATGGCCCAAGTCCTTGGGCCCTGCACCCATGTGGGAGACCCAGAAGAAGCTCTTGGCTTCGGATCAGCTCAGCTCTGGCCATTGCGGCCATTTGGGGTGTGAACCAGTGGATGGAAGACATTTCTCACTGTCTGTAACTCTGCCTCTCAAATAAATAATTTTTTTTTTTTTTGACAGAGTAGACAGAAAGAGAGAAAGGTCTTCTTTTTCTGTTGGTTCACCCTCCAATGGCCGCTGCGGCCGGCGTGCTGCGGCTGGCGCACCGCGCTGATCCGAAGCCAGGAGCCAATAAATAAAATCTTTTAAAAAACAAAAAAGTTAAACATATTGAATATCCTCATATGATTATGATATAAACTATGAAAAGGTAGAAAACTATTCCAGACAAGATTCCCAAGTTTTTCTTGTCTAGGCCTTAAAATTTTTCAAAAAGCATTTTTCTGAACAGTTAATAAAATTGATGCTGTGAGTATTTGAACATAACTGGCCTATTTTATTCTGTTTTTAAAGCAGGGCCAAGATTTCCTTCTCCATTCCCCGTTGGGTGGCTCGCAGCCGGAGGCTGGCGGTGGGAGGCTGGCGCTGGGTGCACAGACCCTGCCCTCGGCAGGGCTCGGCACTGCTCCCTCAGACGCAGCGTGCTCGTGCGAGGCCTGCAGTGAACGCAGGTGCGTGCCGTGTGGGCCCCGTGCTCTTGCTGCTCATGGCAGGCTCCGCTGTGCACTGGAGCTGGAACGTGAAGCTGGCAGCCAGTGTCTGAGCCGCTGCTGAGTGAGACGGTGGCCTGGCTGTGATGAAGAAGAACCAGACGAACAAAAATCCCTGTCCTCAGAGACGAGGCGGCATAATCAGTCACTAGGCTCTTCAGTCCCAGGGCAGTGACCAGATGGGAGTGCCGGGCAGGCCAGAGACTGCAGGGGCGAGGACGTGGGCCCCGATCTGGAACACCCTGCGCTCCAGCTCAGGGAGGGAGCCAGTGGGGTTCGTGGAGACTGGGGTTGGAGAAGCACAGGCTTCCCAGGAGCCACTCGGACAGTGAAGGGCAGGTGGGCGGGGGAGACGCAGAGTTCCCAGACACCCTTGTTGTGTCGGGGATTGGACAGCGGAGGACTGGAGCAGCCCTGCAGCTGTGTTGGGGAAGCTGTCGGTGTCCTGTAGTGATAGCCTGGGCACTGAGCCAGGCGGAGGAGTCTGGCTTTGCAGTCTTCGCATCATCTTGGGCAGTCTGACTGGTGGGAAGGGAGCAGGTTGTGCTGATTGATCTAATGTGACTGTCCTGATGGCTGTGTTGCGTCTTAGGGAAATCTCCACCGAGACAGACCGAGAGCCTCAGCAGCTGCAGAACTACTGGTCCGAAGTGCGCTACATGGTCCGCTGCATATACCGCCAGGCTGGGACCCCGCTGGCAGATGACCAGGACCAGTCCCTGGTACCGGACAAGGAGGGAGTGAAGGAGCTTGTGGATAGGTACACGCTGCCCCTCCCCTCACGCCCCCTCCGAGTGGCCTTTCTGCTTGGGGTCGGGTGACGCTGGCGGCCCTCAGGCTTGGTGCAGCTCAGTCTTCAGCAGAAGTGACCCCTCTGGGTGAAAGGTCGCCAGTGCTTCTGATTCTACAAAGTATTTACTGCCTGGCTTTAATAAACGAAGGGTTTCTGTCATTTCCTCGTGTTAAGAGTGGCAGTAAAACCTGCCTGTTTTGAGTTCTTGTGCCAGGGATGCTACTAAATATTTTCACAAACACTCTTGTGTTTATCAACCCAAAGAGAAAGAATTGTCCCATTTATGAGATGGGAAAACCAAGGCCCTGGGAAGTAGGGCAGCTTGAGAATACACGTGTTGTGGCCCACGCTGCACCAGGGCTCCTGCAGAGGCCCTGTGCCCGGCAGCAGGACAGAGTTTGAGGCAGGCGTCATTTTTATTCTCCCTGATACCCTGGTGCATGTAGCATCTTTTTCCGCTTTTTGAAATGGTCAAAATAAAAGGAAAAAATTTGGTTTGGACATCACAGGTCAGTCCTCATTTCCTTCTCAGCATTTCGAATGCAGCACCTTTGAGACTTTTGTAAATTCATGTTTACTGTGCAGTAGGTTTCATCCTGTGAACGAGGGTAGTGATTGGCCATGGGCTCTGTTCACTTGTGTCCAGGGGCTGGCCAGTGAACCGCTGGTGTTGCAAGGGTGGTTCTGGCTAGCATGTGGCCTTGAGAAGTTAGGAAAAGTTTCAAACCTTTATATCCAACCTGTCACTTCCAGGTTATAAGAACTGCATTTTTGATACCCTCTCACGAGTGTCTAGCAAGTGGTCAGTGTGACTGTATTTACTGAATGTCCATTTGAATAGGTGAGTGAATGGACCTCACGGCATCTTCTGCTCTGTGCAGAAGCACCGCACGGTTACGTCTCTAGATTATAAAACAGCCGAGGGCCAGGAAGGAAACCAGGTGCGTCTGATTCCACACCTGAGCCACGGAAGAGTCGGGAGCCTCTTTCCTTTGGCAGATTAAATCCCTCTGTTTCAGAGGACAGATTTTTATGCTAGTAATTGAAATTAAGACTTCCATGCTAAAAATATTAAGTCTTCCTGAAATGCACTAACTGTAGCAGGAAGCCATTCCCTTGGACTACTTTCCTGAGCACGATTTTCTTGCAGACTTCCCAAGGTCCCCTGCAGGAGTTGACTTAGCTCCTGTCTTCACGCCCTGGGCAGCCTGGTGATTCCAGATCAGAACAGTGCCAGCTTAGCTTCTTCTCTTTTGACCTGATGTGGTACCCAGAGGGTAAAAGATTGTGTAAATATGAGAGCTGTAACTTAATATGTATCACAACTTGTTTCTAATGGAATGCTGAGCTCACACTGGTTCTTAGTGATGGGTGATGGGCTGGCATTTTGGATATTGCACTAGAGCCGTCTCAGAAATATGCATGGTAATGCCATATACGAAAAAGACAAGTTTGGGAAGAGATTCGTGAAAATGTGCATTGTAATATGGCCTAAGGGCAGGATGTATATGAATGTTTCCCCTACTCTTCAGCCTACAAGTTTTATTTTATATATTTTTGTTACCTTTTTGGATGGGTAACTTAAAAATAGGATGAGCTGTGTGTGTTCCTCTGCTTATAAAAATAAGGTGAACCTGTTTGCTTTGGAAACTAGATTCCTAGAAAGAGCAGTTTTCCCAGCCCTAGAGCAGGTATCGTCTTGGTGGGGACAGGTGCTTTCCCTGTTGACGTGTGAGCCTTCGGGAGGGACTTGCATTGGAGCGGGGGCTGAGGTGGTAGCACACCCTGCCGTGTGCGGCACCAAGCGTTCGCATCTGAAGCAGTGGGTTAACCCAACTGCGGAGCAGTCCTGCCTCTCGTGGGTCACGGTGAGGAGGGTGGTCGTTGTCGTCCACAGGTGCCTGCCTGAGGAAAGGCCGTAGAACAGAACTGTCCTCTCACGGGCCTGTGCGGGCAGCACAGCTGAGTGGGGCTCTCTCCCTCTGCAGGCTCTGTGAGCGGGACCCCTACCAGCTGTACCAGCGTTTGGAGCAGCAAGCCCGGGAGTACGTTCTAGAGATGAAGGTCCGGCTGCTCCGGCAGTTGTCCGCAGCAGCCAAGGCCAAGGCGCCGTCTGGCTTGCAGGGCCCGCCGCAGGCGCACCACTTCATCTCCCTCCTGCTCGAGGAGTACGGCGCCCTCTGCCAGGCCGCACGCTCCATCAGCACCTTCCTCGGCACTCTGGTAAGAGAGAAGGTGAACTGGGGAGGATGTTTCTGAAGCCAGTGCGCTGTCCTGGGGCCAGGGGTCGACTGGGGCTAGTCCTCTGGGTGAGAGCTGGGCAGAGGCTATCCTGGTGCTGCCCGATGGGAGTGCCCTGGGGCCTAGGCAGCAGAGCACGGGGGCTGAGCTGAGTGGAGGATCAGTGTGTGTCCGCTTGTTGGTTCTGTTACTGCGGACAGAGCTGGCCTGAGACGGATGCACGTGGAGAGCATGAAGACTGGAGGGTGGCCAGCTTACAGCCCTCCCTTTGGTCAGGCCCGGGGCTCTCGCGTCCACCCAGCGCGGGGGTAAGGATAGGCTCACAGACTCGATGCATCTGCCTCCTGCGTTACCTCCCAGGAGACAAGTGAGTGCCAGCTTCTGAAAGTGGACTGCCACCTGGGGTGGAGGGAGGTGTGGAGTGCAGTGGGATCACTGGTCAGCGGAGTTGGTCCTTGGCCGCAGTGTACCTGCCGCCAGAAGTGACCGTGCTCCCCAGAGACAAGCCAGGAGCGCTCTCTTGACTAGGAGAGAGCCACCCACTGCTCACGGTGGGCTCTGTAGGGGAGACCCACCACCCACTCACTCACGGTGGGCTCTGTAGGGGAGACCCACCACCCACTCACTCACGGTGGGCTCTGTAGGGGAGACCCACCACCCACTGCTCACGGTGGGCTGTGTAGGGGAGACCCACCACCCACTCACTCACGGGTGGGCTCTGTAGGGGAGACCCACCACCCACTCACTCACGGGTGGGCTCTGTAGGGGAGACCCACCACCTACTCACTCACGGGTGGGCTGTGTAGGGGAGACCCACCACCCACTCACGGGTGGGCTGTGTAGGGGAGACCCACCACCCACCTACTGACGGATGGGCTGTGGAGTTTTTCATAATTGCTTAAGTTTTATGTAAGGTTAGTTTTGGGTGCTTTTTTAGTGGTAAAACCACATTTTAAAACTAGTAACGAGTGGTCCCTAAGGTTTTCAGCATGATAATCTCTGACTCTGAAGTTGATGGACGCTCCCTAACAAACTTCACGCACACTGTTTGGGAAGCACTGCAGGAGGCTGGCAGCCTGAGCCGCGCCTGGAATGACCTTGGAGAGGCTTGGGGAGCAGGGAGGTAGGGTCATGCTGGTCCTGCCTCAGACTTGAGTGCACCGACAGGGCCAGGCTGTCCTCGGTGTCGCTTACCACACTGCCTCCCACCTCCCCCAGCTCTGTCCTTCAGAGCTCCAAGTCCAGAGCCACCACCTTCACTCTGCCCACCCTGCATCCTGAGAACAAGGGCCCAGGTCCAGCGCTCTCCTGCCTGCCCGGCCTGGCGGCCTCCAGCCATCCTGAGGAGGGTAGAGCAAGCCAGCAAAAGTAACCTACAACATGCTTACGGGAGCAAATTCCTTCCATTTCTATGGGATATTTTCTTGTAATTAAAAAAAAAATCATCAGTTCTTAAGCACAAAATATAGCTATGTGATCAGTGTTTTATTTCACTTTGTTTACACACAGAAACCACTGTGATTTCCAGTGGCACAGCAGAGTGTGTGCCTGGAGTTACTCCTTTCTCTAAGGGAAACAGATACATGTACAGGGTAGCATAAGATAAAATATGTAAAAACATAGTCAAGATGGTGTGAGAGGGAAGAAGTCCTAGCGGTGAAAAATCAGTTGAAAGCTGGAATCCTTGAGACATGGACGTGCTTAAAAGCCGACGTCTGCTTCAAGGATTAGGAGATAGAACTTCGGTCCAGCCCTGGTTGGGATCAGCTCGTAACGCAGGGCCCACTGATGATGAAAACCACAGCATGATGGTGAAGGAGCCAGTGGCAGCTGAAGGGACAGCTGGCTGGTGCAGCAGGGTTTATTGCCCAAGGGCTCGTGGGCTGGACACGTGCTCAGAAGGTATTTCACAGGGGCACGGGGCTGCTGTCCGCTCAGGCAGTCGCGGGAAGCCTTTGAGCAGCTGGCGCGGTGGCCTGGTGGGCTAAGTCTCCACCTGGGCGCCGGCATCCCACATGGACACCGTTCATACCTCGGCTGCTCCAGCTCGCTGCTGTGGCCTGGGAAAGCATGAGGGGTGGCCCAAGTGCTTGGGTCCCTGCACCGGCCATTGCAGCCATTTGGGGAGTGAACCAGCGAATGGTCCTTTCTCTCTGTTTCTCCCTCTCTCTGAACTCTGCCTCTCAAATAAATAAATACAATCTTTAAAAAGGAAAAAAAGAAAAAAGAAAGCTTTTGGGAGGCTTGACCTTCAATCTGACCTCAGAAGAATTTGCATAGGTAAAACCTCTGGAGTGAGCAGCGCATGGTGAGGAAACATCACAGAATGCAGCCAGCGTGCAGGACACGGCAGATGAGAACCTGCAGGTGCACCAGGCACAGCTTTATATCAGAAATAGAAAGGCGCTGTGTTTACTGTGTTAAGGAAATACAAAGCTTTAAGATTATGAGTTAAGGATTAAAACTCTGAACAGTGATTATTAAGATTTGCTTAAAAAAAAAAACCCTAGAAATAGAAAACAGTGCGTTTTTAAATAGCTTATTAATCTGTAGATTGAAGAGAACTGGTGAGTCGGAAGAAAGAGCTGAAGGAGTTCTGCAGACTGTAGCTCTGAGAGCCGAAGCCCAGGAGCGCAGCAGAGCCCCGCGTACACCGTGAGGCTCCTCACCCGCCAGGCTTCAGAGCACAGTTAGAGTGAGGTAGGTAGAGATGGTGACTGACAGATGTCCTTCATTGTTGACACCAGTCTGAGTCAAGGAAGCCTGTCAAATTTTTCAAATAAAATAAAATTTAAAATCATTGCCTAGGGAATGGGGTTGTGCCATAATGGGCAAAGCCACCACCTGCAACATTGGCATCCGCTGTGGGCATAGTTCGTGTCCCAGCTGCTCCATTTCCAATCCAGCTCCCTGCCAGTGGCCTGAGGAAAGAAGCAGAAGATGGCCCAAGTGCTCTCTCACATGGGAGATCCAGGTGAAGCTCCTGGTTTCTGGCTCCTCACTCCAGCCTGGCCCAGCTCTGGCCTTTATGCCCATCTGGGTAGTGAACCAGTAGATGGACAATCTCTCTGTAACTGACTTTTAAAGGTCAAGTGAGCCTTTTTTTAAAATTCTACTTTATTTTTTAAGATTTATTTACTTGAAATTCAGAGTTACACAGAGAGAGAGAGAGAGAGAGAGAGAGAGAGGCCTTCCATCTGATGGTTCACTCCCTAATTGGCTGCAACGGCTGGAGCTGCGCTGATCAGAAGCCAGGAGCCAGGAGCTTCTTCCAGGTCTCCCACGTGGGTGTAGCAGCCCAAGCACTTGAGCCACCTTCCACTGCTTTCCCAGGCCAAAGCAGAGAGCTGGATTGGAAGAGGAGCAGCCGGGACTCGAACTGGCGCCCATATGGGATGCCAGCACTGCAGGCCAGGGAGTTAACCCACTGCGCCACAGCACTGGCCCCAACTCTGACTTCCAAATAAATAAATTAATTAAAATCCTTACCTAGATGTAGCGACATCTTTGGAACATCAAAGAAAGAGTCATCTCAAAAACAATATGGATGTTTGTTTTAAATCGTATGATGTTCTGATTGCATAATTGTGATTTCAAGACAGAGACTAACGCCAGATCTCTGCCCTCTCCGATTCGTGGTTAGCTGTGTTAAGTCACACTGGCTTCCTTGTGCCTCTTTTTCTCCCTTTCCTTCCACCTCCTCTCTTTAATAAAGGAGCTCAGAGCAAGTCGCAGACATTACGCCTTTTTGTCTAAGAATATTCTAACACACATCTCTGAAAATAGACATTACATTACATTATGTCGCCAGTCCATCATCACACCCATGAAAACTAGTAATTTCTTACTGTCAAACAATGCAGTCCATCTTAACAATCACATTGTGGTGTGGTGTTGAGGACTCAGCAGCCTTTGTGTGTAGCAGCTTTCTTAACTGTGCTGCCCAGTGACCTGTGCGGAAGAACTTCCAGACGGGTTTAGGAGATGGTCTGTGTCTTGCAGCAGGTGGTTCTCCGGCCCCTTTATGCTTAAACATTGAGGACTCAAAGAGCTTTTGTTTGTATGGCTTATATCAGTGTTTACTGTATTGAAATTAAAACTGGGAAATTTTTTAAATGTTTGGTAAGCCATCTGAACTTATTAAATAACATAATAGCATATTCTTTTTAAAGATTTATTTTATTTATCTGAAAGTCAGAGTTACAGAGACAGAAAGATCGTCTACCTGTGGTTCACTCCCCAAATGGCTGCAACAGCCAGGGCTGGGCCAGGCTGGAGCCAGGAGCCAGGGGCTTCTTCAGGGTCTCCCACATTGGACCGTCTTCTGCTGCTTTCCCAGGCACATGAGCAGGGAACTGGATTGGAAGTGGAGCAGCCATGACACAAGTAACATATTTTACATTAAAAAGTAACTTTTCAAAAAAAGATTTACAAGAGTGGTACCCTTAACGGTTTTGCCAGTCTCTTTGTTGTCCAGCAGTTGGATTTTTCGGGGATGCGTCTGTGTCACAGGTGGTCTGTGTGCGTCTGTGTTGAGCCTGCTGTCGCAGGTGGTCTGTGTGCGTCTGTGTGGAGCCTGCTGTCACAGGTGGTCTGTGTACGTCTGTGTCGCAGGTGGTCTGTGTGCGTCTGTGTTAAGCCTGCTGTCACAGGTGGTCTGTGTGCGTCTGTGTCACAGGTGGTCTGTGTGTGTCTGTGTTGAGCCTGCTGTCTCAGGTGGTCTGTGTTGAGCCTGCTGTCTCAGGTGGTCTGTGTGCGTCTGTGTCACAGGTGGTCTGTGTGGAGCCTGTTGTCACAGGTGGTCTGTGTGGAGCCTGTTGTCATAGGTGGTCTGTGTGCGTCTGTGTTGAGCCTGCTGTCTCAGGTGGTCTGTGTGCGTCTGTGTGGAGCCTGCTGTCTCAGGTGGTCTGTGTGCGTCTGTGTGGAGCCTGCTGTCTCAGGTGGTCTGTGTGCGTCTGTGTCACAGGTGGTCTGTGTGCGTCTGTGTGGAGCCTGCTGTCTCAGGTGGTCTGTGTGCGTCTGTGTTGAGCCTGCTGTCTCAGGTGGTCTGTGTGCGTCTGTGTTGAGCCTGCTGTCTCAGGTGGTCTGTGTGCGTCTGAAATGGAGCCTGCTGTCTCAGGTGGTCTGTGTGCGTCTGTGAACAACCTGCTGTCTCAGGTGGTCTGTGTGCGTCTGTGTTGAGCCTGCTGTCTCAGGTGGTCTGTGTGCGTCTGTGTTAAGCCTGCTGTCTCAGGTGGTCTGTGTGCGTCTGTGTGGAGCCTGCTGTCTCAGGTGGTCTGTGTGCGTCTGTGTCACAGGTGGTCTGTGTGTGTCTGTGTTGAGCCTGCTGTCTCAGGTGGTCTGTGTGCGTCTGTGTGCGTCTGTGTCACAGGTGGTCTGTGTGTGTCTGTGTTGAGCCTGCTGTCTCAGGTGGTCTGTGTTGAGCCTGCTGTCTCGGGTGGTCTGTGTGCGTCTGTGTCACAGGTGGTCTGTGTGGAGCCTGTTGTCACAGGTGGTCTGTGTGGAGCCTGTTGTCACAGGTGGTCTGTGTGCATCTGTGTTGAGCCTGCTGTCTCAGGTGGTCTGTGTGCGTCTGTGTTGAGCCTGCTGTCTCAGGTGGTCTGTGTGCGTCTGTGTTGAGCCTGCTGTCTCAGGTGGTCTGTGTGCGTCTGTGTTGAGCCTGCTGTCTCAGGTAGTCTGTGTGCGTCTGTGTTGAGCCTGCTGTCTCAGGTGGTCTGTGTGCGTCTGTGTGGAGCCTGCTGTCTCAGGTGGTCTGTGTGCGTCTGTGTTGAGCCTGCTGTCTCAGGTGGTCTGTGTGCGTCTGTGTGGAGCCTGCTGTCTCAGGTGGTCTGTGTGCGTCTGTGTTGAGCCTGCTGTCGCAGGTGGTCTGTGTGCGTCTGTGTTGAGCCTGCTGTCTCAGGTGGTCTGTGTGTGTCTGTGTGGAGCCTGCTGTCTCAGGTGGTCTGTGTCTGTGTTGAGCCTGCTGTCTCAGGTGGTCTGTGTGCGTCTGTGTGCGTCTGTGTCACAGGTGGTCTGTGTGTGTCTGTGTTGAGCCTGCTGTCTCAGGTGGTCTGTGTTGAGCCTGCTGTCTCAGGTGGTCTGTGTGCGTCTGTGTCACAGGTGGTCTGTGTGGAGCCTGTTGTCACAGGTGGTCTGTGTGGAGCCTGTTGTCACAGGTGGTCTGTGTGCGTCTGTGTTGAGCCTGCTGTCTCAGGTGGTCTGTGTGCGTCTGTGTGGAGCCTGCTGTCTCAGGTGGTCTGTGTGCGTCTGTGTTGAGCCTGCTGTCTCAGGTGGTCTGTGTGCGTCTGTGTGGAGCCTGCTGTCTCAGGTGGTCTGTGTGCGTCTGTGTGGAGCCTGCTGTCTCAGGTGGTCTGTGTGCGTCTGTGTGGAGCCTGCTGTCTCAGGTGGTCTGTGTGTGTCTGTGTTGAGCTTGCTGTCTCAGGTGGTCTGTGTGCGTCTGTGTGCGTCTGTGTCACAGGTGGTCTGTGTGTGTCTGTGTTGAGCCTGCTGTCTCAGGTGGTCTGTGTTGAGCCTGCTGTCTCAGGTGGTCTGTGTGCGTCTGTGTCACAGGTGGTCTGTGTGGAGCCTGTTGTCACAGGTGGTCTGTGTGCGTCTGTGTTGAGCCTGCTGTCTCAGGTGGTCTGTGTGCGTCTGTGTGGAGCCTGCTGTCTCAGGTGGTCTGTGTGCGTCTGTGTGGAGCCTGCTGTCTCAGGTGGTCTGTGTGTGTCTGTGTTGAGCTTGCTGTCTCAGGTGGTCTGTGTGCGTCTGTGTGCGTCTGTGTCACAGGTGGTCTGTGTGTGTCTGTGTTGAGCCTGCTGTCTCAGGTGGTCTGTGTTGAGCCTGCTGTCTCAGGTGGTCTGTGTGCGTCTGTGTCACAGGTGGTCTGTGTGGAGCCTGTTGTCACAGGTGGTCTGTGTGCGTCTGTGTTGAGCCTGCTGTCTCAGGTGGTCTGTGTGCGTCTGTGTTGAGCCTGCTGTCTCAGGTGGTCTGTGTGCGTCTGTGTCACAGGTGGTCTGTGTGCGTCTGTTTTGAGCCTGCTGTCTCAGGTGGTCTGTGTGCGTCTGTGTGGAGCCTGCTGTCACAGGTGGTCTGGGTTGAAGTTACTGAGGACATCCTGGTCCCACACAGAGACAGCTGAAAGAGCCGGGCTGTATCAGGAGCCTTCTGCGGTCACTGTGGCCTTGGAAACCAGATGACAGCTTCGGAGTGTCCCGAGGGTTGCAGCTGGGATCTGAGTCCCAGTCCTCTGCTGGGCTGGCCCCCTTTGGAGTGGATCCTGCTCTCCTGCGTGAAGGTCCAGCATGCTGTGTGGGTCGTTTAGACTCTCCCCTGAATGGTGCAGCTCTGCCTCATCTGACACATCGCATCGTTTGGTATTGAGAAATGACATGTCGGTGTCAACGCCGACCTCGGCACAAAGCACAGTGGCAGATGCAGTTTTCCACATTTCTGGCTTTTTCTTGAAAGTTCAGATCTTGGGAGGAGCCACAGACAGTGTCACTTACCTTCACAGCAGCAGGGCTGCTTGCTGTGTGAACTCTGCCAGCTCCTTCCCTGCTGGCCCTGCCTGGCTCCCTGTGGCCACCCCAGCCCCTGCTCTTCTGACTGCATCAGATAGAAAGAACGGCACCCAGAAATGGGCCTCTAATGGGAAACGCACCTGTGGGCCCCTCCCCTGCTGCCTGAGGAGCGCTGTAGCAGGTGTTTGTGACCATGCGGCTTTGTGACCCGCCGCGTGCACAGGGCCTGTGCAGTGTAGACCTGGCTGAAGCTAAGACACGTGTTACTGTAAACATCTTCGTGCCTAGCAGGGTGGCATTCCGGGCCTGGGCCGACTTCAGGAGTTGCCATGCCCTGGTCTCCTGAGGCTGTGGGAGGTGCTTCCTGGGAAGCAGTGATGGGTTCACATCTGGGAGGAGAACGGGAAAAGCACTCGAAATATTCACAAGTGAAGGTGTGAGGTTTTCTGCAATGTCGCGCAGTCACTGCTGAGCCTAGCAAACCCAGGCTGCTTAGCTTCCTGCAGGGTCGCTGGTGTGCTCTCTGCATCTTCTCTGCCTGTTTGTTTCCAGGAGCAGAAATTTATGACTGTGACTTGTTCTCTCTGCCCCTCTGCCGCCTTGGTTATCAGGTGACAGAGTTACGGGTGTTCTGTGTGATTCATTGACGAACTGTCCATTCGGCTTGACTGAGCTGTGAACGTGAGCAGCCCACCAGTTGCAGTGACTGAGCAGCCTCGTCCGAGGAGACACATTCTGATTCGTAGTCACAGTTCCCAGAGCTGTCCGTGTGTGAGTCAGGAGCGTTGACCGAGATGTCCCACAACCCCAGCACAGCTACACACGTGGAGCTCACAGGCAGGAGCACGGGCTCGGTGCACATCGCTGTAGCAAGACTGTCACCTGTGAGAGCACACCAAGGAGAGGCGGAGGTGCCATCAGCTCCCTGATCTTGCCCTGAGACAGTGCTCTTCTCTGGACGGCACCCTTGGTGAAGCCTGGGTCCTCCCAGAATGGTTTCACAGTATTATCCGCATTTATAGGAAGGAGAAAGACCTTCCCCTTGCCAGGGCATCACTACATCTTCCAGGATGGGAGGTCCCGCCCTCTCTTCCTTTCCTCTCTTTCTCTCTTCCTCTCTTCCCTTCCCTTTTTTTCTCCCTCCTTCCCTTCCTTTCCTTTCTTTCTTTCTTTTTTTTTTTTTTTAGATGTATTTCTTTATTTGAAAGGCAGAGTTACAGAGAGAGAGAAAGGTCTTCCATCATTGGTTCACTGCTGAAATGGCCACAGTGGCCTGAGCAGGGCCGATCCTAAGCCAGGATCCTGGAGCTTCTTCCAGGTCTCCCATGTAGGTGCAGGGACCCAAGGACTTGGGTCATCTGCTGCTGCTTTCTCAGGCCACAGCAGAGAGCTGGCTTGGAAGTAAAGCAGCTGAGACTTGAACCGGTGCCCATATGGTATGCCAGCAATGCAGGCAGCAGTTTCATCCACTATACCACAGCACCAGCCCCAGAACGGGAGGTTTTTGTTGTTGTTTTTGTTTCTTTTTTTTTTGGATAGGCAGAGTTAGACAGTGAGGGAGGGAGAGAGAGAAAAAAGGTCTTCCTTCCATTGGTTCACCCCCCAAATGGCCACGATGGCCGGCGCGCTGCGCCGATCCGGAGCCAGGTGCCTCCTCCTGGTCTCCCATGGGGTGCAGGACCCAAGCACTTGGGCCATCCTCCACTGCACTCCCGGGCCACAGCAGAGAGCTGGACTAGAAGAAGAGCAACCGGGACAGAATCCGGCGCCCCAACCGGGACTAGAACCCAGGGTGCCGGCGCCGTAGGCAGAGGATTAGCCTAGTGAGCTGCGGCGCTGGCCGGGAGATTTCTTAAAATAAACAAGGAAATTACTGTTCTTTGCCATCAAGGAATTTGTATGCATTTCAGCTGTTTGAATAGCATGGCTTCCCCTACACCTGACAGCCTGATTGCAAGACGACCATCAGATGCTGCGGCCGTCCCCGCGCGTCCCGTCTCTCGCGTGTGTGGATTACCTGGAAGGGAGCGGAGGCTGAAGGGCCTGTCATCAGGGCTCAGGCTCCATGTGTGCTCTGGGACCTGTGGTGTGGCCGCCCTCTGGGCCTGTGTGGAGGAGTGTAGCTAGAGAGGCTGGCTGGGAATTTTGAGTCTGCATCAATTTACTACATCTCGTATTTATCTTTTCCTTTTGTATTAGGAAAATGAACATCTGAAGAAGTTCCAGGTTACCTGGGAACTGCACAACAAGCACCTGTTTGAAAATCTCGTCTTTTCCGAGCCGCTTCTGCAGAGCAACTTGCCGGCGCTGCTGTCCCAGATCAGGTATCAGGCTGAGCCCGCGGCCACGCCTCACGCCGCGGAGCGCGGAGTTCTCGGGGGGGGGGGAGTAACAGGCCGAGGGCGAAAACCTGAGGGGGCACGCAGTGCAGCTTTCCAGTGTACACTGATGGAAAAGGATTAACATTCCCATAAATAAGAGGAAGGTAAATGCCGTGCTTTGCCTGGACAGTACGCCACACTCAGCTTGAGGGGCAGTGGTGGGTTTGTGCTGTGGCTCTTGACAGGTGGGGGTGGGAGGAGGGTGGAGGACAAAGGTCTGAAGGTGCCCAGGAGCTCCCAGGCCACGGCTCTTAGGGACTTGACGCACATTGGCAGCTCTCTTCCGTGTCCCCTTGGTACTCCGGACCCTGTCTGCATCCTTGTTCACCCGTGTGTTCTGAGCCCCTGGTGGTCTCAGCTTTCACCAGGCCAAGCGTGCCGAGTGCTGGGCCAGTGAGAAGATGCAGCAGGCTGGGGGGTGCCCTGAGTCACTGGCATCACTCAGCAGAGTGGTCGCCTGCAGAGACAGTGTGAGCTGCCACAGCTCTGCAGGGGGAGGTTCTGAGCCCTGCCTGAGCAGTGGGGCACACTCCCTTCCACACTGCAGGGGGAGGTTCTGAGCCCTGCCTGAGCAGTGGGGCACACTCCCTTCCACACAGTAGTTACAGTTTTTAGTTACAGTTTTTGCAGGTGACCCTGCAAGGGGAAAGGAGGTCAGAGGAGAGGCAGCCACTGCCTCCGCTTCTGCCCATGAAGAGATTTTGATTTTAGAACAGCTGTGTTGTTTGCTTTTCTTATAAAATTGCTAGATTGTCATTACAAATATATTTCTGAAAACAGAGTAGATACTGTAAATAATTGAGTGTTTCTTAACAGTTTTTTTTCCTGTATCCACACATAACACATGTTGAAGCATGGTGCTTACTCATGTTTGCCTGACACTGGGCATACTTTCATTTCAAAGCATGTACATGTGTGCATACATATACATATATGAATAGTACATACGAGTGTGAATGGACATGATTGTGGAATTTGTGACCTGTGCCTGGTTCCCTAGTATCTTTTTGTGTAGGTGAACCGTGGTGTATTTAAGTGATTCCCTATGGGTAGTTTCTGGTGCTTCATGTGAATTATGGTACTTTCTAACCTTGCACATAATCTTTTTACTCTAGATTTGCTATAAATGTTGTCTTTGATTCTGGATAACCCTGATCAAGATGTCTTTATTCCGATTATTTTAGTTCACATATTGACATGTTTAGGAACTAAGAAAATGCTTTTCTTTAAAAAACCTATCTTTATTTGAAAGGCACAGCTGACTGGTAGCTCTCGCAGCAGTGCCGTGGTGCTGTGCTGTGCTGTGCACCCCTTTCAGCCCTGGGAGGGGGCAGCAGCAGCAGGAGGCACCTCTGGGTCTGGCTCAGAACCCTTAGCTCTTGCTTTTGCTACAAGGCGTCCTTCCTCCCAGGCTAGGAACCACCACGCACGACACCTGCAGTGAGGACACGTACAGCACCTTGTTACAGAGGTACCAGCGCTCCGAGGAGGAGCTGCGCAGGGTGGCAGAGGAGTGGCTGGAGTGCCAGAAGAGGATTGATGCCTACGTGGATGAGCAGGTGAGTGCCAGCTGCAGGTCCAGTAAACTGTACGTCAGCCACTGACTGTCCAGAGGGGACGGACGCTCTGGTGCCGCAGATGGCCATTGCCTGGGGGTGCTTGTGATGTGGTGGCAGTGGTTGGTTAGGTCCTTCCCAGGTGGGACACGCCCACTGTCATGCAGGCTACTGCCCATGCTGTGTGTCCTGTGCGTTGCCGTGGCCCTGGCAGGGCTGGGGAGAACTTGTTTTGTGATGTCTTCAAAGTGACTGTATCCCTAGGTCATGTGTTTGCAAGCACACACTTTGTCTGAAGCTGTAGCTTGTCACTGACAGGGATTCTGGTCGGCCGCTGTGGGTACAGGACAGAATGGAGCAGGCTCAGGATGTGCAGGGCTTGCGAGAGGCGGCTGATGGACAGTGCAGCACCACCAGCTGCAGGAGCACCTGTGCAGCCTCCGCTCGTGAAGCCTTGCATGTCCAGGGAGCCGCCCCTCTCTGCCACCTCCGAGACAGCAGCCCAGCTTCAGGAGCTGCCTGTTCTGGTCTCTGAGGGGCCTGGGCTAGGGGCAGGCAACTGTAGCATCTGTCCAGAAAGTGGTGGCCTCAGCATGCCATGTCCTCGGGTGTGGCAGTAACAGGGTCTTGGGGTCTTGAGCCCCAGAGAGGACCCTGCAGTGGCAGGTGAGGCCAGTCCACAGGGCAGATTTGCCCACGAGTCCTCAGGCCTCTCCTGGCGTTCAGGCTCCCACCCGTGTGTCATTTTATAACTCGTATGTTGCGTGTGCCATTCTTAGAACTGTGATAAATAGTTCCTTGTGTATGAATCGTGCAAGCCCGGTTAGTGGGCTGCCTACAGAGACGATCCCTGCGGCATCCGAGCCCTGGGGTTACGGAGAGCAAGGAGGTTGGAGAGGCTGTGAGATCTCTGGTTTACAGTGATGTTGGGTCACGAGTTGTCTGTAAAAAAGAAAAGACCGTAGGAAGAAAGGGAAGCTTGGACGCCACGCACATGGTAGAAGGAAGCTGGTGCGGTCCTGTGACCGTGAAGAGGGCAGTGAGGTGCGCGAGGCAGGAGCTTTGAGGTCGGCAGTGGAGACGGGCGCGCCGGCGCGAGCGCTGCTGAGCTCAGGCAGGGACCAGCGAAGAGTGCGGAGGGCTCAGCTCCCAGAGAGCTCCTGCCGTGGGGAACGCAGCTCTACCCGAGTGACCGCGGAGTCTCCATCCTGCCAGCGTCAGCTAAAGAGAAAGTCATGGAAACTCGCCCCCGTGGGACCCTGCCTGTCTTCACGAGGGCTGCGGCTCTCAGTCCATCCTCAGCAAGGTTACTGCCCTGGGAGAGGAGTGAGGCACCGTCGGCGTGGGTGCTTGTGACTGCAGCAAGCCCGGTGCGCTGCCTGAGGCCCTGCAGGGCGAGCATGCGCGGTGAGGTCCCTGTGGGGCGTGCAGCACACCCAGGCTGCACCAGACGCTGTTTGCTGTTGGCCCAGGGCGCATCTCGGTTAGGACTGGTGGCGCTGGTCGACGTGCACATGGAGAAGCTGAGTCCTGCTGCATCCATAGAGATCTGAAGTCAAGGGACAGAGCACGTGGAAGGCCCTGGGTTCAGCGTGGTGATAACTGGGCTGTCTGTCCTCTGGGCATCCCTGACCAGACTGGACCCTGCCAGGCAGGGGGGCATAAGAGACTTGAGGCAGCTCCTCTGAGCACCTGAGGTGTGACCACTGTGAAGGAGATGTTCAGCTTGACCCAGCCAGCTGCAGGGCATGGTATCAGGACACTGGCAGGAGTCGTGAGGACATTCTGTAGGGGAGGCGTCCCCACAGGACTGGGCTCGTGTGGTAGGCTGACACAGAAGAGGAGTGTGGGATGTGCCTGGACTGAGTGGCTGAGAGCCCTCCTGTGCTGAGGTGTTTGAGCCACACGCCACTCACATCCCTGATGGGGGCTGATGGCCTCTGTGCCCAGTGCTTCCTGCTAGTCCAGGTTTGCAGAGCACCCCCGGGAAGGCACTTGGCTGTGGGCCAGCATGCAGACGGGCCCACGTGTGTGTGAGCAGTGCTGGGCCTGGCATGCGCAGAGGATGCTGGCCTGTCACTAGAGGCCGAGGGTCTGGGAACTCCTCCACTTGGACTCCTCCTCCTCCCTCCCTTTGGCATTTCCCCCTCAGGCGTCAGTGCCATTCGCCTGAGTGACCTCCGACTTCCCCAGCACCTTGTGTCCATGTTTGTCTCTGAGGCTGTGAGTAACCTGTGGCTCTTGGGTAATTTCGGGAAAGTGATAGACTTAAGGTGACTTAGCTAAAGGCAGGTGGGCCTTTCCCCAGCACCGTGCCAGGCAGTGTGTCCAGAACTGCGTTGTCAGTGCCTGAGCCACGTCTGTGGGTGACAGGAGGCTCCTCAGGTCTCAGCTAGGCCAGGCCCTTCATTGCTGGACACATACAGAAGCCTACAGTAGCTACCCAAATTTGCTCTGTCCCAAATAATTAATTTTACTCAAAGTATGTGAAAGAAGGTCAAAGAGGAAGAGATTGGTTATTGTTTTTTTTTGGGTTTAGGCATTTTTATATTTTATATGAAAGGCAAGGAGAGAGCTCTCATTCCATCTGCTAGATTATTCCCCAAATGCCCATACAGCCGGTACAGGCCAGGCTGAAACCAGAGCCCTGAACCCAATCTGGGTTCCCCTTGTGGATGACACAGACTCTTAAGTTCTGTGCCATCACCTGCTATGACATTAGCAGAAAGCTGGATCAGAGTCAAGGAGCTGGACTGAGACCAGCACTGATGTGGGATGTAGGTGTCCAAGCTGGGCCAGAGTCAAGGAGCTGGACTGAGACCAGCACTGATGCGGGATGTAGGTGTCCAAGCTGGGCCAGAGTCAAGGAGCTGGACTGAGACCAGCACTGATGTGGGATGTAGGTATCCAAGCTGGGCCAGAGTCAAGGAGCTGGACTGAGACCAGCACTGATGTGGGATGTAGGTGTCCAAGCTGGGTCAGTCAAGGAGCTGGACTGAGACCAGCACTGATGTGGGATGTAGGTGTCCAAGCTGGATCTGAACCTCCAGGCCAATCGCCTGCCCCAAGGTGGTTTTTATGTATGTTACTTCTCAAACACCCAATTTGAATTCTGTACTAAGATAAAAAAAAAATCTGTTACTTTTCCTGTTAGCGCATTTGAAATAACTTTTTACTTAGGCAATAGTCGTATGACTAGCTATGTGAAAATTCTTTTCCCCAAAACTGCAGACATATATAAGGAAAACTGGCGCCAGTATTGAATCTTTCCATTCAAGAACATGATTTGTCTTTCTCTCATTAGCTCATTTTCTGTGTGTGTCTTACTGAGATCACAGGCAGCATTTGACAGAGGTGCGGGCTGTTAGGAGCGGCACCTTCGGGGGAACTGGTCGCTGCGCTGTTGCTGCTGGGACTAGGAACAGGTGCCGCCTCCACCCCTCGTCAGCTCCAGCCGTGCTTCAGTGGCTGACGTGGTGTCGTCTTCCAGGGTTTCTTCTCGTCCTTTTCAGCATTTGGACGTGTTTTGTGCTGCAGGCAGACCCTCCTACGTGGAAGCACTGATGCCAGCCCTGGGGTCTGGGTGCTGACTCCAGGGAGTGTTGGCGGTTTCACCGTGAACTTTGATGTTTCCCTCACAGACCTCGATGTTTTTAGCAAATTAAAGAAGTTTACTTTTGTTTCTGCTTATTTTTTTTACAACAGAAAACTGGGATAGATGTCAGATTTGTATGACTGCTCTCCTTCCTCCCCACAGTCGGGGCTGGTGCCAGGAGTTCAGTCCAGGTCTTGCACGAGAGTGAAGGGACCCAGTCACTCCAGCCATGACCTGCTGCCTGCCAGGCTGGAGTCCGGAGCCGAGCAAGGCTCTAATGAGACACTGCAGTGCAGTGAACTCCTGCCCGTTATCTGTGTTACATGAACTGAGAAACTAGCTTTCCTAGTTTTTTTTTTTTTTTTTTTAAGATTTATTTATTTTATTTGAAAGTCAGAGTTACACAGAGAGAGGAGAGGCAGAGAGAGAAAGAGAGATCTTCCATCTGCTGGTTCACTCCCCAGTCGGCTGCAATGGCCAGAGCTGTGCCGATTTGGGATTTGGGCCATTCTCTGCTGCTTTCCCAGGTACATTAGCTTGAGCTGGATCGAAGTGGAGCAGTTGGGACTCGAACCAGTGCCTATATGGGATGTCAACAATGCAGCCGGCGGCTTATCCACTATGCCACAGTGCTGGTCCCCTGATCGATTTTTGCAAGGAGGAAGAACAAGCAGTATAGATCTGCTACCTTTTCAGTAAAAATATTTACTTTACATTTATTCATCTGTTTCACATTTCCCTTACTTCTTTTTTGTTTGTTTTTGACAGGCACAGTTAGACAGTGAGAGAGACAGAGAGAAAGGTCTTCCTTCCGTTGGTTCACCCCCCCAAATGGCCGCTGCGCTGCACCGATCTGAAGCCAGGAGCCAGGTGTTTCCTCCCGGTCTCCCATGCAGGTGCAGGGCCCAAGCCCTTGGGCCATCCTCCACTGCCCTCCCTGGCCACAGCAGAGAGCTGGGCTGGAAGAGAAGCAACTGGGACAGAATCCGGCGCCCCAACCGGGACTAGAAACCGGGATGCCGGCACCGCAGGCAGAGGATTAGCCTAGTGAGCCGCGGCGCCGGCCATCTCTTACTTCTTAAACCAGATTTCCAAGTAGATTTTGATTAGGAAGCCATCTACGTTATTTAGTTAAAACATCATGGGCATGTGTTCCCAGAGCTGGGGAAGAGTGTGAACGGGTGGTGTGTGTGCTCATGGCCAGTCGCTCCTGCTCCCCTTTGGTCAGAGGCACTTTCTCCACCTTCACGGGACGTGCTCCTCCCTCCCGTCGGGCAGCCTGGTGACTGTTTCTAGGTCAGAAAATGACTTGTGATTGCTTTAGAGTAAGTCAGGTAAGATGCCGAAACAGAATACCTGTCAGTGTGTTTGTGGCATTCTACCTTTGTTCGCAGATGATATTTCTGTATTTATCATTTTAAAAAAATCTGCAGCCAGCGCCGCGGCTCACTAGGCTAATCCTCCGCCTTGCGGCGCCGGCACACCGGGTTCTAGTCCCGGTCGGGGCGCCGGATTCTTTCCCGGTTGCCCCTCTTCCAGGCCAGCTCTCTGCTGTGGCCCGGGAGTGCAGTGGAGGATGGCCCAAGTGCTTGGGCCCTGCACCCCATGGGAGACCAGGAGAAGCACCTGGCTCCTGCCATCGGATCAGCGCGGTGCACCGACCACGGTGGCCATTGGAGAGTGAACCAATGGCTAAAGGAAGACCTTTCTCTCTGTCTCTCTCTCTCACTGTCCACTCTGCCTGTCAGAAAATAAAATAAATAAATAAATAATTTTTAAAAAATCTGCCTTTGAGAATGTCCTGTTTAGTTGTTGCTGGTATTAAGTTTTTTTGTTGTTTTGTTTTGTTGCTTACAACTCCTTACTAGATGACAATGAAAACCAAACAGCGCATGTTAACAGAAGACTGGGAGCTTTTTAAACAAAGAAGATTCCTGGAAGAACAGGTAAGGTTGTCAGCGGGAGGGGCAGTTAAAGGAAACAGCCTTCCTTACAGAGAGAAGGGCCCCCACTGACTGCTGTGGTCCAGCAGAGCGTTTGAGGGCCGGTGTCAGTAACCACCACTAGAGACGGGTTTAAGATAAACTCATTTTGCCTGCCTAGTTCCTAATTTTCCATACGTGCCCCATAGGCACCTCTGCTAGCCCGTAGAGCCCTAGGTGCCTCATAGTGATGTTGCACTGCGTACCCGTGGTCACCGGGGAGGCAGGCCGTGCCGCCTCAGTTCACGCTCTGAGGGAGAAGACTGTGGCATGAGACCAGGGACGGTGCTCGGCCCTGCTCAGACAGCATCAGGTGCTGTCTTCAGTGTGGCTGCTGCCAGGCCCGTGTCTCCTTCCCTCCTCTTCCCCAGGGGCCCCTCCCAGCCAGGGCTGTCCTCCATCCTCTGCTACTCTGTTGAGCAGGGTTTGCTGGGGATCATCCACGACTGGTCTCAGGGCCCTCAGCTGCATCTGCAAGCCTGCTTCCCGGGACCTCCCATCCGTGGGCCAGACCGCCTCCCCTGCTTGTCTGACCGATTTCTCTCCTCCCTCGGCCTTTCTTACAAGTTTGCAGTTCCTTGGCCTTGGCTGTCCCTCCCTCCCGTTCCCATTCCCGTGGGCACCACAGGTGCACGGATGGTACCTGGGTGTCTGTGTGCTGTCCTGTTGCATGGCTCTTCCAGCTGCTGCCATCCCCTGGGTGAAATCCAGATGTTCACAGTCAGTGGGAGATCGGTTTCCACTTCCTGTAAGCTCTCAGATCTGGCCCCTCTCCTCCAGTCAGTCTCTCTTCCTCCAGCTGGTTTCTGCTCATCAGTCTCAGGCACGCAGAGACAAGAGGGTACAGGTCGGCTGTGCACCGCAGCCCTGCCTCCTGCTGTCTGCCGTTAGGGCACAGGACTGCGTGTTTGCTGCGGATGAGCGTCTGGGGGGTTTGAAGTACCTGGGCCCTTGCGTGTCTCAGCCCCAGCCACTGCGGCCTGAGTCCCTGCCTCTGTGTCCTGCCCTGGCGTGCTGGAGGAAGTGGTCTCTGCTGGCTGCTAATGAGCATGCCACTCCACCATCTCTGTCGTCACTAAAAAGTGGGGCCGTGGTCAGGGGCAGTGTCTTGCACATTTGAGCCACCATTTGATGACTTCCTCCAGTTAACTAGTAAGAAAGCAGTCGCTGGGGAGAACAGCTTCACGGACACCGTGCGGCACATGCTGTCGTCGCGGCTGAGCATGCCCGACTGCCCCAACTGCAACTACCGGAGAAGGTGAGCGCTGGGCGTGGGGTGCCCGGCTGCGGGACGCCCAGCCTGAGCTCTCTGGTAACTGTCCTTAATTCCCAATCAGATGTGCGTGTGATGACTGCAGCCTCTCACACATCCTCACTTGTGGTATCATGGACCCCCCCGTCACTGACGACATCCACATTCACCAGCTGCCCCTCCAAGTGGACTCCGCTCCCGACTATCTCTCTGAGATGCGCCCACCCAGCGTGTCATCAGCAAGCTCAGGGTCGGGCTCCAGCTCTCCCATTACAATTCAGCAGCATCCCAGACTCATCCTCACAGACAATGGCTCTGCACCAACGTTGTAAGTTTGGCTTTGGAATGAAGCTTCAGAGATTGAAGTGATCCCATAACGAGAAACAGACAGTACCGTCTGAGGAAGTATTAATGGTATTACAGTATTTTTCATGGAAAAGGACCCTCCACTGTTTTAAGCAGCATCTAAAACATGAAATCAGTTTGACACTGTTTCATTACCTGAAAAAAAATGTAGTGAATTCATAAATACTAGTAAAGAAAAACATGTTGGTATGCAGGGAAGTGTCTCCAGCTCTGGCCTCACGTCTCCGCATTCTCTTGGAGGGTGACCAGCCGCTGCTCCTCCCCCTCGTTGTCCACCAGTGTTCGTGCTGGTTCCATGTCTTGCTAAGAGCCCGGAGGATCACTTTAGCAAGCGACTGAAAGTCTGTTTTCTGTCCCCACAGGGGGGCTGTCACATGTCACGCTGTAGGTGACTGGCCTCAGAGTTCAGCGTTGTTGCTCTGTTGTTTGTGGAGGCTTCGGAAGGGCTGCACGTGGCGTGTCTGGTTACTGAGGGCAGTGGGTTTCTGCTGCTTGTGTGCAGTGTGCTGGGAGCCCAGGAGCTGCCTGCGGGAGGGACACACGTTTCTCAGACTGGCAGGCGCGTGGTGTTCCTCTCCTAGGATTGCCCACACTCTGACGTGTTCCTTCGGGCTCTTTGAATTCTCAGTAAGGACTGGTCTGAGCTCTTTTGAGACTCGCTTCGTTGGAAGATTGAGCTGTGCTCTCTCCCAGGGGCGCTGGGAAGAGTGCCAAGGGTTTTGCAGCCTGCATGTATCCAGTTATGAGAAACATCAAGTTAAATGTGTGTGGTCTAATGAAAGTTTGGGTTGGGAAGTCCCATCCCGGCTCGTTGTCCTTGCTGTCGACGTCAGCTGTGGGCACCTCGTGTGCCTTCACTGGCGGCTGCATGGCCGTGGGAGCCCTTACCTCTCGTCACGGGAGCCCACCCTCTCCGAGCCTCCAGCAATGTACAAATAGTGCCTTCCAAATACAGGGTGCCACGTCTGAAAATCTCCAGTGTCTTCTTTCTTGGTGCCATTTCTCAAGGGTCAACGAGCGTGCCGTGGTTTCAGTCCCTAGAACGGGGCTTGCTAGCTCTCTCCGGTGCTAGGGTCATCACATGGAGCGGATAGCTGAGTTACTTCTTCGCAGACCCTCCCCCCGGCTCGTCATGGCGGTGGTGGTAGTTGAGGACTGAGCGTGAGCATGGGCACAGGCACAGGCTCCATCGCAGGCCCCGGGAGCGGAGCACCTTTACCTGCGGGTGCCGCGTGCGTCTCACTGCCGAGCCCCAGGTCACACTGCCGCTGTGTGCTGACTCCTGCTGAGGAGGAGTACCAGACGGCCGGGTCTTGGGATTTTTGCCTGCTTGAAGCCATTCAGTGTGTGCCGACACTGACGACGGGCTGTGACCCCGGGTGTTTGGTCATGCCTTGAGGCGTTCACTCAGCCGTGGGCCTTGTGCCAGCCCTTTCCATCCACTAGGACGTCATGCTGGAAGTGGTCTCTGTGGGCAAATGTCCTGAAAGCTCAGGCACTTTGCTAAAACTGGTACTTGATTGAGATCATAACTCACTTGACCAAAGCAGACCTTGTTACAGAAAGATTGATGTTTACATTTTGTTGAGCTGGCTATTTCTGCAATTCTGGTGGTTATAAAAGCAAACACTAAGAACCTGTGTATGCCTGTAGTTTCAATCAAAGATTGTGACTGCTTGGGAGTGGCTAACAATTTAGACCAGGACACTCAAGTCAAATGGAAATGCATCTGTCTAAGTTTTCCTGGCTGCCTTATTTTTCTGCTTTGCCCCACCTTCCCAAAGAGCATGCATGCTGATCTTGTGTTGGGCTAACTAAGAGGTGTTCAGTGGTAGCGGGGAAGGATAACAGAGTGGAAACAGTGACCTGGCAGAGAGGAGGCTCAGGTGACCTGTGTGCTTGTCTCAGCTGTAGTGACGACGAAGACGTGGCTCCGCTGTCGGCCAAGTTCGCGGACATTTATCCGTTGAGTAACTACGATGACACTGAGGTGGTGGCCAACATGAATGGAATCCACAGTGAATTGAACGGTGGTGGGGAAAACATGGCCCTGAAGGATGAGGTAGGGGCAGCTCCTCCGGAGCAGCAGTAAACGGCATAATACCTGGTCTCACATGTTGATTTTGATGCTGTGTGCTTACGTTCTGAGAAAATGTGAGTTACAAAAGAAGGTCTTTGAAGTCCCCTCAGGTCAGCAGCAGCAGCAGCAGTTCTTCGGAAGCTGACGACGAAGAAGCCGATGGAGAGAGTAGTGGGGAGCCGCCCGGGGCCCCGCAGGAAGACGGGGCGCTAGGAAATAGCCCCAGGAAAGAGGAGAGCAAAGTGGACAGTCCACCCCCGTCTTACCCAGCGCAGCAGGTGAGATTTCCATTTTCATGTTTTCTGTTTCACCAAGTCTTTCTCTGCGTTTATTTTCTGTAAATATTGAACATGACTAATTAAAGAAAGTATTCAAGTCATTCCTGATTAAAACTAAAGAGATTGAAGGCAGATTTATAAACAGCCGTGGAGCAGGTGTGTGGCACAGTGAGTTAAGCCACCACTTGGGGTGCCCACATCCCAAATTGGAGTGCCTGGTTTGAGTCCTTGTTCCTGCCAGTGCTCCGGGAAAGCAGCAGACAGCCGATGTGCTTGGGTCCCTGCCACCCACTGGGGAGACCTGAATGAAGCTCCTGGGTTCTGTCTGGCACAGCCCTGGCTGTGGCAGCCATTTGGGGAGTGAACAAGCAGATGGAAGACCTCTGTCTTTTCTTCTGTCTCTGACATTCTGGCTTTCAAATAAATACATACATCTTTTTTTTTTAAGCCTTCATTTTAACCTGTTTCTCTTGCTTGAATCTATAATCAGCAGTCTTTATCTACAACAACCCACAGCCCTTTATATATTTATTTAGATGTTATGTAGTATTTTGTCTGTGTAGAAGCAAGAAGAGAGTTTTTTAAATAAAATAGCGGAAGGTTAAGAGGTTTGGTTTAATAATAAAAGGTCTTTGTTTTTCCTGTTCAGTATTCTGGTTTTGTGTGTGTGTGTTTAAGATTTATTTATGTATTTGAAAAGACGGAGTTAACAGAGGCAGAGAGAGAGCTTCCATCTGCTGGTTTACTCCCCAAATGACAGCAACGGCTGGAGCTGGGCCCATCCAAACCCAGGAGCCAGGAGCTTCTTCCAGGTCTCCCACGTGGGTGCTGGAGCCCAAGGCCTTGGGCCATCTTCTGCTGCTTTCCTAGGCCATCGCTGAGAGCTGGATTGGAAGTGGAACAGCTGAGTCTCAAACCAGCGCCTAAATGGGATGCCTGCACTGTAAGCAGTCGTGGCCTTACCCGCTGTGGCATACTGCTGGCCCTAGTATCTCTTTTAATATTAACCAAACTTATCTTTTTCTTAGAGAATCGGTTTTGTGATAGTTGCTTAGCAAGCAGGGTTTTTTTGGTGGTGGTGGTTTTATTTATAAGATTTATTTATTTGGCCAGCGCCGCAGCTCACTAGGCTAATCCTCCGCCTTGCGGCGCCAGCACACCGGGTTCTAGTCCCGGTCGGGGCACCAGATTCTTTCCTGGTTGCCCCTCTTCCAGGCCAGCTCTCTGCTGTGGCCCGGGAGTGCAGTGGAGGATGGCCCAAGTGCTTGGGCCCTGCACCCCATGGGAGACCAGGAGAAGCACCTGGCTCCTGCCTTCGGATAGGCGTGGTGCAACGGCCACGGCAGCCATTGGAGGGTGAACCAACGGCAAAGGAAGACCTTTCTCCCTGTCTCTCTCTCTCACTGTCCACTCTGCCTGTCAAAAAAAAAAAAAAAAAAGATTTATCTATTTGAAAGAATTAGAGAGAGACAAAGACAGTTCCTCCATCTGCTGGTTCACTCCCCGGATGGCTGAAACCACCAGAGCTGTGCAAGGTTGAAGCCTTGAGCCAGGAGTCTCCTCCAGCTGGGAGCTGGAACAGAAGTGGAGCAGCCAGGACTCGAACTGGCACCCACATGGGATGTGAGCATCACAGGCAGTGGGTCTGCCCACTGTGCCACAGCGCTAGCCCCTGTAAATGGTATTTGTTTTAAAGAAAGGTTTTATTTAATAAATAAAGATTTCATAGTTACAGTGTCTCTCCCCCCATACCCACTCTCCCACCCCCACTCCCATCCCACCTACTCCCTTCCCATCCCATTCTTAACATTAAGATCCCTCCCTCCCCCCTCCCTCCCTCCCTCCCTCCCTTCCTTCCTTCCTTCCTTCCTTCCTTCCTTCCTTCCTTCCTTCCATTTATCTATTTGTCTGTCTGTTTGTTTATTTGAAAGACAGAGTTACAGAAAGAGACAGAGAGGTCTTCCATCTTGTGGTTCACTCCCTAGATGGCCGCAACGGCCAGAGCTGCACCACAGTGCCGGCCCCAAGATTGATTTTTAATTATCTTTATTTACAGAAGACCAACTCTATACTAAGTAAAGATTTTAACAGTTTTCACCCACACAAAGTATAAAGTACAGTTTGAAGACTAATGTTACTGTTAATTCTCATAGTACAATTCATTAAGGACAGAGGTCCTACATGGGGAGTAAGTGCACAGTGACTCCTGTTTTTGATTAAACAATTGACACTCCTATTTATGAGGCTCTTGTCATGAGCTGCCAAGGCTATAGAAGCCTCTTGAGCTCACAAACTCCACCAGTGTTTAGACAAGGCCATAATCAGAGTGGAAGTTCTCTCCTCCCTTCAGAGAAAGGTACCTCCTTCCTTGATGGCCCCTTCTTTCCACTGGGGTCTCACTCACAGAGATCTTTCATGGAGGACAGTTTTGCCACAGTGTCTCAGCTTTCCATGCCTGAAATGCTCTCATGGGCTTTTTAGCCAGATCTGAATGCCTTAAGGGCTGTTTCTGAGGTCAGAGTGCTGTTTATGCCATTTGTCCTTCTATGAGTCTGCTGTGTGGCCTGCTTCCCATGTTGGATTGTTCTCTCTCTTTTTTTAAATTTCTATCGTTATTAGCAGACACTTGATCTTATTTATGTGATCCCTTTGCCACTTATTCCTATCTATATGATCAGTTACACACTTAAAATGATCACTTTAACATGTTAGTACCACCCAGCTTAATGGGATTTGGAGTCCCATGCAAGTTTTTAGCTTTACCCTTAGGGGTAAGTCTGGGAGCGTGTGCCAGATTGTACATATCCTCCCTCTCTTATTCCCACCCTTATTTTTTAAAGGGATCAATTTTCAATTAGATTTAAACACCTATGAATAATTCTGTGTTAAGTAAAGAGTTCAACCAATGGTATTAAGCAGAAAAAGAAAATAGTGAAAAGAAAAAAAAAAAGATAAACTGTTCCTCGATAGGACAAGGGCTGGTCAAGTCTTTGCTTCTCACAGTGTCAATTTCACTTCTCCCTAAATGGTTTTCAAATGAGAGTGAGAACAGTTGAAGGTCAAGATGCTTGACTGATTAATGCATTTTATTAGGCAACACGAGTATATGCTTCAGACAGTGGAGCAGTCCTGTTGCCACCTCCAGATACAGCTGTGCGTGCAGGCTGCCCAGCACCGCAGTACTTAGTCGCGTGCCGGTAGATAAGCAGGCTTACTTACTGAGTGCATCAGTGCAGATGTGTGTTCTTCTCTTGCGTCTGTCTTGTGTGATAGGCCGTACGCCGTCCCCCTGTTCTGTGCCCTGCTTCCCACTTCGCAGTGCATCCCGACAGGCCTTGTCCCTGTGTCGCGTCCCTTCCTCGTTCTCCTCTGCTTGCTGCCACGTTTCCACTGTGCAGCTTTTCTTTTTAGTCCCCTGTGGATGGGCACTTGTGTTGTCCCCCTTCCCTCTTGGCTATTACAAAAGACTCACTGAGCCGCCGTATGCAGCGGACGTGTGCATGTCAGCAGATGCGTCCTGGCACTGGTCTTCGGCGGGGGGGGGGGGGGTCCTGGGCAGGGCACCTTGAGTAGGGCTGAGGATGCCATGTGATCTTCCCGAGATTCCGACAGAGTTGTCACAGGTGTAGGATTCTTGCCAGCCTCCACACGTGAGTGGTGACCCTTTGTCGTTTACGGTTTCCTCTCCCTCTTTATGGGTAAAATTGACCGTCTTTTCATAGATTTCTGTTTGTTTCCTCTTCTGATTATTGGGTAATAAGGGTTTTCTATAGTCCTGTATCACATACGCATTTTGCAATATTTACTCGTGGTATGTGATGTGTGTGTGTGTGTGTGTATGTGTGTGTTTAATTTTAGTTTAGAGACACAGAGTTGCCATCTGCTGCTTCACACTCGCAAGAGCTGGGACTGGGAATGCCCTCCAGGCCTCCTAGCTAGGTGGCAGGGACCCAGTTAGCTGGAGCCATCGCTGTGCCTCCTGGAGGTGGCATTGGCAGGAAGTTGGCAGTCAGAAGATGCAGCCAGGAATGGAACCAACTGAACTCTGGTACAGACGCAAACACCTTAACTGCTAGGCGACACCTCTTTTAGTTTTTAGGTTTTTTTGTTTTTTAATATTTATTTGAAAGGCAGAGTTACGGGGGCAGGGAGGGGAGGGGGCATTTTTCAATCAATGATTCACTCCAGAATGGCCACAACAACCAGAGATGGTCCAGGCTGAAGCCAGGAGCCAGGAGCTTCTTCCGGGTCTCCCATGTCGGTGCAGGGGCCCAAGCACTTGGACCATCTGCTGCTGCTTTCCCAGGCCACAGCAGAGAGCTGAACTGGGAGTGGAGCAGCCAGGAAGGCGGTAGCTTTACCTGCCGTACCACAGTGCCGGCCCCTTAACTCTTTATTAATGTCTGTGGTCTGTTGGGCTCAATATTTGCTTATGGTGTCTGGTTAAGGTCTGGGAGTTCGTCTTTCTACATCACATGGATTTCCAGTTGTCCTGGTGCTGTTTGTTTGAAGAACATCCTTTCCCCTACTGAACTGCCTCAGGCATTGGTTGAAAACCTGTGAACCATGAATGTGTGAACGTTGGTGTCTGGATTCTGTTAATTCTCTGTATGCCCTTCCCCCACCGTGCACCTGACTTTGCTATGTGGAAATCGGGCTCAGCGGAGTGTCTCTAGCTTGGGCCTTCTTCAGAATTACTTAGACTATTCAGAGTCCTTGGCATTCCCATATCAACTTTAGGATCAACTTATCAGGTTTTTTTATAGATTTATTTATTTGAAAGGTAGAATTAGAGGCATAGAGAGAGGTCTCCCATTCACTGGTTCACTCCCCAATTGGCTGCAACAGCTGGAGCTGCACCAATCCAAAGCCAGGAGCCAGGAGCTTCCTCCAGATCTCCCACATGGGTGCTGGGGCGCAAGCACTTGGGCCGTCTTCCACTGCTGTCCCAAGCCATTAACAGGGAGATGGATTCGGGTGGAGCAGCCGGGACTTGAAGCAACATCCATATAGGATGCCTGTCCCGCAGGTGGAGGTTTGATCTGCTACACCATAGCACCGGCCCCAGAATTCAATCTTATCAACATTCTGAACTTTTTCATTTATTTAAATCACCTTTAGTTCCTCTTAGTTCTTATTAATTTCTCATCTGTGTATTTTGAAAGTATTTTTTTTTTGCTTTGAAGGAGGAAGGCTTTTATTTCATGTGCTTATTTTTAACTGTAATATCAATAAATTTTTACATATCTTTTTAAAATTTTCAATATTTTTATAGAAAACTTTTATTAAATATAAATTTCAAAAGTACAACTTTTGGATTATAGCGGTTCTTCCCCCCATAACCACTCTCCCACCCGCAAAACATCCCATCTCCTACTCCCTCTCCCATCCCATTCTTCATTAAGATTCATTTTAAATTATCTTTATATAAAGAAGATCAACTCTGTACCAGTAAAGAATTCAACAGTTTGTACTCACACAGTCATACAAAGTATAAAGTACTGTTTGAGTACTAGTTCTACCGTTAATTCTCATAGTACAACACATTAAGGACAGAGGTCCTACATGGGGAGCAAGTGCACAGTGACTCCCGTTGTTGATTTAACAATTGGCACTCTTATTTATGACGTCAGTGATCTCCTGAGGCTCTTGTCATGAGCTGCCAAGGCTATGGAAGCCTCTTGAGTTCACAAACTCCAACCTTATTTAGACAAGGTCATAGTCAAAGTGGAAGTTCTCTCCTCCCTTCAGAGAAAGGTACCTCCTTCCTTGATGGATGGCCCTTGAAGGTATTTCTTAAATTTATTATTGATCTGTAGTTTTCTGTCCTTGTGATTTGTCTCTGTCTTTGGTATCAGGGTATTAATACTGTTCTCACAGAATGAGTTGGGCGATCTTTCTAACGACTTTTGTTTCTGATGGAGTTTTTCTAAGATTGAGGTTTCTTAGCTATCTGAAAGAATCCACCAGCAGAATCCTATGGATTTGATTCTTTTCTCTGTGGGAAGATTAGTGCTTGCTTATTCAGGTTTTTGTTTACTGGTACTGGTGGGGGTGGTAAAGCGGGTAAAGACACTGGCATCCCCTGTGGATGTTGGTTCATGTCCAGCTGCTCCACTGTGATCCAGCTCCCTGCTATGCCTGGGTAAAGCAGTGGGAGATGCCCAAGTGCTTGGGCCCCGCACCCACGTGGGAGACCCGGATGGAGCTTCAGCCTGGCTGTCATAGCCATTTGGGGAGTGAACCAGTAGACGGAGGATCTCCCTCTCTGTCTGTCTTCCTTTCTCTCTCTGTCTCTGACTTTTAAATAAATAAATCTTTTTAAAAAGAAAAGTTTTCATTTATTTGTAATTGGTCTATTCAGATTTTTCTATTTCTTATTGAGTTAATTTAATAGTAACTTTCTCTGAGACTTCACTTATTTCTCCTCAGTTGTCTATTTGTTTTTTTTTTTTTTTTTTTTTTTTTTTTTTTTTTTTTTATTTTTGACAGGCAGAGTGGACAGTGAGATAGAGAGACAGAGAGAGAAAGGTCTTCCTTTTGCCGTTGGTTCACCCTCCAATGGCCGCCGCTGCAGCCGGCGCACCGCGCTGATCCGATGGCAGGAGCCAGGAGCCAGGTGCTTTTCCTGGTCTCCCATGGGGTGCAGGGCCCAAGCACCTGGGCCATCCTCCACTGCACTCCCTGGCCATAGCAGAGAGCTGGCCTGGAAGAGGGGCAACCGGGACAGAATCCGGCGCCCTGACCGGGACTAGAACCCGGTGTGCCGGCGCCGCAAGGTGGAGGATTAGCCTATTGAGCCACGGCGCCGGCCCCTCAGTTGTCTATTTGTTTCCCTGAAGTTATTATAGCCTTTTGTCGTGCTTTCAGTTCTGTAGGGTTTGTGGTGATATTTATTACGGATTTGCATAATTTTGTCATTTCTGTTTAATCCCCTCATCACTGGTGTCAAAGATTTGGTAGTTCTTGGTCTTTTAGACAACCAGATTTGAGATTTTTTAATTTTCTTTTTTTTTTTTATTTATTTCTGTCCTGATATTTATTTTAATTCTTTTGGTGTTCTTTGATTTTGCTTTGCTCTTCTTTAACACCTAGATTATTGGTTTTAGATCTTTCTTTTTTTAAAAAAGATTTATTTATTTATTTGAAAGTCAGAGTTAGAGAGAGGAGTGGCAGAGAGACAGAGAGGTCTTTCGTCTGATGGTTCACTCCCCAGATGGCTGCAATGGCCAGAGCTGAGCTGATCCAAAGCCAGGAGCCGGGAGCTTCTTCCTGGTCTCCCAAGCGGGTGCAGGGGCCCAAGGACTTGGGCCATCTTCTACTGTTTGCCCAGGCCATAGCAGAGAGCTGGATTGGAAGCAGACCAGTCAGGACTAGAACTGGCACCCATGTGGGATGCCGGCGCTTCAGGCCAGGGCATTAACCCACTGCGCCACAGCACCAGCCCTGATTTTAGATCTTTTGAATTTACTAGAACCTGCTTTTTGGCCTGACCTGTGGTCTGTCCTAGATAATGTCCCATGTCTACTTGAAGACAGTTTATATTCTGCTCTTTTTTAAAATTTATTTATTTATTTTTGACAGGCAGAGTTAGACAGTGAGAGAGAGAGACAGAGAGAAAGGTCTTCCTTCCGTTGGTTCACCCCCCAGATGGCTGCTATGGCCGGTGTACTGTGCTGATCAGAAGCCAGGAGCCAGGTGCTTCCTCCTGGTCTCCCATGTGGGTCCAGGGCCCAAGCACCTGGGCCATCCTCCAATGCACTCCTGGGCCACAGCAGAGAGCTGGACTGGAAGAGGAGCAACTGGGACAGAATCCAGTGCCCCAACCAGGACTAGAACCCCGTGTGCCAGTGCCGCAGGCGGAGGGTTAGCCTAGTGAGCCGCGGCGCGGGCCTATATTCTGCTCTTGTCATGTAGCACTTGACAGTTTGGTCGAGTTGGTGGCATTGTTCACGTCTTGTGTACCATCTTCGTCCACTCACACCGCAGTGTGTGGCTTCCCACCAGCACACGTTCCGCTTAACTTCTGGAGGCTGGCAGGTCTGAGATGAAGGCACCGGCAGTGTCCCTGTGTGCTGTCAGCTTGCTGGGGTCTCAGCTGGGAGGGGCCTCCCAAAGACCCCACCTCCTGATGCTGTCACCTTGGAGGTTGGGCTGTGGATTTGTAAGAACACGGATAATCAGATCACAGCTCATACTCTGGCTGCCCTCAGTCCCTGAGAGAAGCACATGGAAATCTTGTAGTACAGTGGTTGAGTTGGGTTATGTCTCCTGTCAGTCTGCCAGTTCTTGTTCCTTCATTAGTGGTGGTGCTGTTGACTTGTATGTACACGCTGTTCTTACGTGTCCCCAGCTTACTGACCTGTCATTATGAACTGTTTATTACTGTGGCCACTCCAGCTTCTTGGGTTGTTATATTAATGTGTTTTTTTTTTTACCATCTTTTTACTTTCTTTTTTTTAAGGTTTATTTTATTTATTTGAAATTCAGAGTTACACAGAGAGAGAGAGAGAGAGAGAGAGAGGTCTTCCATCTGATGGTTCACTCTCCACTTGGCCACAATGGCCGGAGCTGTGCCGATCCGAAGCCAAGAGCCAGGAGCTTCTTCCTCTGGGTCTCCCATATGGGTGCAGGGGCCCAAGGACTTGGGCCATCCTCTACTGCTTTCCCAGGCCATAGCAGAGAGCTGGATCAGAAGTGGAGCAGCCGGGTCTTGAACCGGCGCCCATATGGGATGCCAGCGCTTTAGGCCAGGGCATTAACCCACTGCGCTACAGCGCTGGCCCCTACTTTGAACCTTCTTACGTCTTTCAGTCTAAAATTTGTCTTTGAGTCTTTTATTTGAACCTTGCATTTTAAACCCCATCCTCTGAATACTTTCACTTGACTGATTATTCTAGAGCTTTTGAAATGGTTGTGGGTGACGGCTGCGTTCAGTTTGATATTTGCTCTGAGGGAAAGGAGCACTAAGCTGGTCACTTTGTGTTAGTTGAAAGTCCCACCTCTCGGCCTCGTTCTAGAGAATCTTGCGGGACTTTTCATTAAGCAGCAGGATCCAGCCGCAGAGCCATCCCGTGGTTCTGCTCTTCTTGGTCCCGGCACCCTCTCCTCCCTCATCATCTAGACTAGTTCCCTTGTCCCTGTGCAGTGAGGCACCGGACACAGATCCCGAGCTGGCCCCTGAGCACAAGGTGTGCTCTTCTGTCCCGGCAGGCATCGTGCGGCCCCTCCTTCCCTCGCACAAGGGCCCTGTTCCGCTCAGGGCAGCTGACAAGCCCTGTACTTTTGTATTTACTTTGTAATTGTTTGGAAAAATCTAAATAATCAGTTATTCCCCCCCCCCCCCTTTTTCTTTAGACTGAGCAAGCTGCAAACACTTGTGAGTGCCACGTTTGTAAGCAAGAAGCTTCCGGACTGCCGGCATCAGCAGTGACAGCTGGAGCCCTCCCCCCTGGCCATCAGTTCCTGAGCCCAGAGAAGCCTACGCACCCTGCGCTGCACCTGTACCCCCATATCCACGGACATGTGCCGCTGCACACGGTGCCACACCTGCCACGCCCCCTCATCCACCCCACCCTGTATACAGCACCCCCCTTCACACACAGTAAGGTAAGTTGGGGAGCTGAGGTGGAGAGACAGCATAGGGTAGCATGTGCTCTCAGAGGAGGATCTGCAGTGTTGTTTCCACCATTGTTCAAGCACTTGTGACTTTGAACTTCACAGCTGTCAGAGCAGTCGTGAAGCCTGTGGCTTGTTCATGCAGGATTTACGGGAGCACAGGGAGCTTTTCAGCTGGTCTTGCTGGCAGGTTAGACTTGCAGATGCTTCCGTGGGGCTCGGGTTACCTGCTCAAGGCCTCTGGGGCCTTAGTGTGCTGAGTAAAATAATGTGAACATAGCGTGAGTCTGCTGGTGGTGGCCAGGCTCTACAAGGTCTGAAACGATTGTGCTTCGTAGTATGCAAAGCACGAGGCTCAAGGAGAAACCCCGAATGAGACCTCAGAAAATGGCCATACTCTGCAGGCCGGAGCCTGGGGCCAGGGCTGCCAGAACCAGTGTGCTCAGGGCCTGTTCTGGACAAGGGCTGAGGCTGTGGAAGATGGCTGACTTTCTGTGGTTTCTTGAGAACATGGTGCATGTATTTAGTATCTTAGATTTTCCAGTGAAGTTTTTACGTTGCTTTTGTTCTTTGTATTTTAGATAGTGTTGCCTCCTTAGGTATTAATAAAGGCTTATTATGTAATTGAAAGGCAGAGCAAAAGAGAGAGCGGGAAAGAGAGAGATGTCTCCCATCCATTGACCGACTCCCCGAATGGCCAGAATAGCCAGATCTGGGCTAGGCTGAAGCTAGGAGCCAAGAACTCCATCTGGGCCTCCTACCCCTGTAGGTAGTAGGGCCCCAGGCACCAGGGCCGTCTTCTGCTGCCTTCCCAGGTGCATTAGCAGAGAGCTGGATCAGAAGCAGAGCAGCCAGGACTGTGTGTGTGTGTGTGTGTGTGTGTGTGTGTGTGTGTGTCTACACGCGCATGTTCTTTCTGTCACTCTGCCTTTCAGATAAGTCTTTAAACAGTAGGTACTTGACAGCCACCCAAGCTCATGCTTTCTCTCTCTGAGTTGAATGTTGCTCAGGTGGGACATTCATCCATGAGCAGCTGGTCTGCCTCTGGGTGGATGTGTCACATCCTCGGGGCCTAGCTCTTCACTCCCTGGTTTTCCCCGGACGCTGCCCTGGTTCCTAGTCCCGAGGAAAGGTGATAGGGTGTTCTGTTACATGTGTTTTTGCTGGTACAGTCTATTCAGTAATTAGTTCCTAAAAACATTCAAGCAAGGTAGTGAAGTTAATTCTTCCCAAAGCTTACTGGGACACTCAAGAAGTTGTGGGTGGTCTGTAACAGGGTGGTGGGAGAGGAGACTTATTTGTGCTGTTATCCGTTCCTGTGACATCTATTGCTTGACTTCCTTGGTCGGATGTGAAAGGCAAATCCAGAGGTCAAGTGGAAACTTAGGAACTTACATTCAGCATGATTCCAGCCACTCTGCTGTTGATCTCAAGCCTTCTGATTGGTTTGAAATTCCTTAGTTGAAGGTCATTTTTATTTGGGAGAATAAAAAAGATGCAGTCGGCAGTCTGTTTCCTTTGAACGTGCTTGTCTCTCTAGACAAGCTTGCGTTGCCACATCTTGCAAACTTGCTTTGTGTTGAGTTAGTTTGACATCACTGAATGCTGTGATACCCTGTGCCTAAGTGCATAATGCGTTAACAACCCCACAGGAGTGGCTGGAAGCATTTTCCAGAGAACACGTGAGTTAGATTAAAATGGCACAAACGTGTCTTTAGTTCTGTCAGAGTTGATTTCTTAGAGGTGCCAGGAGGATTGTTGAGTGCGATGTTTTGAGTGTAGTTGGGAGGCACGAGGTGGGCAGAGTGTGGAGGGCAGCCTTGTACACCAGGGCTCTTCTGGACCCGCCTTTGGTCAGCTTCCATTTCTGCATTGTCTGGTCTCTTAGGGGTTTGATTTATGTCATTGCGGGCATAATCCTTTTCTTTCATGTTTTGGTCAGTGTGTTTAAACATTTAGTACTTAAAATGTTGAGGATGAGTACTATGGAAAATTTACTTTCCTGAGAAACTCAAACACTGATTTCTTTTTTAAATTTCTTCATACTAGTGATAGATTTACTTTATAAACTGAGATTTAAGTCATTTAAAACTTCAGAATAGTTAACAAGGGAAAAGACAGTTACAAAGTACTAGAGGGAAAATGAAGTTGTTTGGGATTTTGCAACTATCTTTGTCAGTGACTTCTACTTCAGTGCATCCTGGTCCAAGAGGCAGATATCGTAGGATTTCTGTTCTGTTGAATTTATTAAGTTGTGCTTCTGTTTCCCAGAATGTGGTCTGTCTTGAATGTTCCACTGGAGCTTGAGAAGAATATGTGAGAGGTCTTCAAAGAGTTTATGGAAAATGATTGTGGGTCACAAAAAAACTAGGCAGGCATTTAACAGTTTTGGGCACCAAAATGAACTTGATTCTGTTCCCCACAAACTTGTGAAGTGCCTCTCTGCACCCCGCTGTCCTGATGGGGGTCTGTAGGCATCTTACGCCCGGTTGATTGGTGCTGCCTGCGGCCTGCGTCTGAGAGGTAGATGCGTCTCTCGCTGCGTGAGGCCTGTGCACTGATGGGGGTCTCTAGGTGTCTTACGCCCGGCTGATTGGTGCTGCCTGAGGCCTGCGTCTAAGAGGTAGATGCGTCTCTCGCTGCGTGAGTCCTGTGCACTGATGCGGGTCTCTAGGTGTCTTACGCCCGGCTGATTGGTGCTGCCTGCGGCCTGCGTCTGAGAGGTAGATGCGTCTCTCGCGTGAGTCCTGTGCACTGATGGGGGTCTGTAGGTGTCTTACGCCCGGCTGATTGGTGCTGCCTGCGGCCTGCGTCTGAGAGGTAGATGCGTCTCTCGCGTGAGTCCTGTGCACTGTTGTTTCTCAAGCATGTGAGACTTGGAGAACGGAGCTGTTCTTTGGCTCTGGCAAAGTCTGATACTAATGCAGCTCCGTCTACTTCTGTGCTGGGGTCAGCGTTGTGCTTTTCTCCATCCCCAGCTTTGAGACCGCTTTATTGCACTAAAATAACACACTGCATAGCGTGAACCATGTTAACTGTGCCATGGTGACCCATTGCTGACTCTTCATTTGTAAAAATGGAGCTTTCTACCCTGTAAGCAGTGGCTCCCTGTTCCCCTCCCGGCCTCTGGCAGCCACCATTCTGCCTTCTGTCTTGATTGGGGCTGCTTGAAGAGCCTCTTGCAGGCTGTTGCACAGGCACCGTTTTTTCCGTGACTGGTGTCTTTCACTTTGTGTGATGCGTTGGGGGATCATCCGGGTCCCGGATATTGGGGACTTTCCTTCCTTTCAGGCAGCGGGACGTCCACTGTGTGACTCGGTGCTGTTTTTTATCCCCTCTCCTGTCAGTGAGCATGTGCACTGTGTCCATGTGCTGGCTGCTGCGAGGAACACTGCCGTGGCCAGGGTGCCCCTGTTCTTCTGGTGTATACCCAGAAGAATCGTAATACATAGCAGTCCTATTTTGGGCACTGTTTGAGAAACTACCGTACTGTTTTCCACATGAGCCACACCATTCTGCGTTCCCACCAGCTTTTCTGCATCCTCGCCACCTCTTACCTCTGTGTCTGCTAGCAGCCATCCTAAGGGTGTGAGGTGTTGCCACAGTTCAGTTCCCGTTTGCATTTCTCTAATGATTAGTGATGTGGAGACTCTTCTCATGGACCAGTCCTTTTGCATGCCTTTGGAGAATTATCTACTGAATTCTTTTGCCCATTTTTGAATCATATTTTTTTGTTTCTGTGTTTTGGGAGTTCTCTATATTCTGGATATTAATCCATTATCTGGTTCACTCTCCAAGTTCTTTCTTATTTTTTTAAAAAGATTTATTTATTTATTTGAAAGAGTTACACAGAGAGAGGAGAGGCAGAGGGAGAGAGGTCTTCCATAACGGCCAGAGCTATGCCAATCCAAAGCCAGGAGCCAGGAGCCTCCTCCGGGTCTCCCATACGGGTGCAGGGGCCCAAGCACTTGGGCCATCTTGTACTGCTTTCCCAGGCCCTAGCAGAGAGCTGGGTCGGAAGTGGGGCAGCCGGGACTTGAACCAGCACCCATATGGGATGCCAGTACTACAGACAGCGGCTTTACCTGCTACGCCTCAGCGCCGGCCCCTCCAAGTTCTTTCAACAGACTGGGCTGGGCCAGGCTGGAGCCAAAAGTTGAAAGCTCTGTCTGGTTGTCCCACGTGGGTTGCAGAAACCTAAATACTTGAGCCATCACTTTATGCTTTCCATGGTGTACTTTGGCAGGAATCTGCAGCTGGGAACAGAGTGGGACTCAGACCCAGACACTGCATGACATGCAGGCACCCAGGGCAGCATCTTAACTGCCACTCCACGAACCCACCCCCACCCCCACTTCCCTTCCCCTTACCCCTTGCCCCGCCCCTCCCCTCCCCTCCCCGCCCCTCCCCGGCCCTCCCCTCCCCTCCCCTCCCCTCTCCTCCCCTCCCCTCCCCTCCCCTCTCCTCCCCGCCCCTCCCCTCCCCTCCCTCCCTTCCTCCCTCCCCCCTCCCTCCCACCCTCCCACCCTCCCTCCCTCCCTCCTTCCTTCGTTCCTTCGTTCTTTTTAAAGATTCATTTATTTTATTTGAGAGGCAGAGAGAGAGAGGTCTTCCATCCACTGGTTCACTCTCCAAATGTCTGCAATGGCTAGAGCTAGGCCGATCCGAAGCCAGGAGACAGGAGCTTCCTCCGGCTCTCCACGCGGCTGCAGGAACCCAAGGACTTGGGCTGTCTTCTACTACTTTTCTAGGCCACAGCAGAGAGCTGGTTCGGAAGTGGAGCAGCTGGACTCAAACTGGCGCCCATAGGGATGCCAGCACTGCGGGCAGCGGCTTTACCCGCTGCGCCACAGCACCAGCCCTGTCATCTTTTCCCTCTTTAAGCATTTCCCATCGTTACTTTATGTGTGAAGGAAACTTCCAGGTCATAAATCTGTGTTGTCTGTTTCCCCTGACATCAGTTATAGCATACTGTTTTCTTACATTATGAG